TTATTTCTTCCTCCAGCTCAGCACCAAAGCCCATATTTAATTCATGCTCTCACAGTCCCACCAAGATGTCTGTGTTTTACCCTCCCCATCCTGTGCACTTCACTGTGCAGCTACAAACAGGGATGTGCGCTCGGTGTTGGGAGCCAGGCTGGAACAGAAATGCCGCCACAAGATTCCTGTGTGCTCTGTCAGAGGGTTTGGAGCTGTTCCTGGTGCCTGAGCAGCCCCAGACAGAGCTGTAATGACAACTGGCAGTGATTAGCACCTCTGCTGGGAAACTTGACATTGCCTCCAAGCACCAAATGCCAGCCTGGATGATTTCTTCTGCAGTGCCTTGGCCTCCCAGGCTTTCGCTGGGGGTGAAGGGTGTCCAGGAAAGTGAGGATTTCTCTGCAGTTACTGTGGTTTTCTTTTTCTTTTCTTTTTCTTCATACCTTTGTCATGACTGGTACCCACAGAACTTAGGCTGTTTTACCAGATACTATTCAACCATAAAATGGAATATAATCTTCTTTCTAAAGATTCTACTTTTTTGCACCCTCTATATTAAATGTCATACTAATACTGATTTTAAGAGGACTGTCTCTCTGTATATAAATAAGGACTTTTTTTCTCAGAACTTTTGGCTACATGGTGAAAAACCCCAAATGAACAGATCCATCAATTATTTTTTTCTCCCTCCTTCCAACATTTTAAACAATCTGAAGCCTGAAAATACGTAACTTGATTTAGTAAATCTTCCAAGAAACTTTTTCTTCATCTGTAGCATTAGCATTGAAGACATCAATGTCTCAGCAGGAGTATGAGTCAAATTCCAAAGCTTGAATGAAAAGGACCATGTGAACCAACATTACACAGATTATAAATTTCATGTTTGTTTCAAAACCATTTGACATAATTTACAATTTCCTTCAATGAGAAATCTTTTATTTGCTTTGATAAATTTTTCTTCCAGGATGTTAGTTGCTTTTTCCCAGATATTTACTTTCTCTTTTGAAGATTACATGTAGTTTCCAGTAATATAATAGTGTTAGTGACAATTTATATATGAAATAACATCATTTTAAAATACTGCATTCCAGTTGTTAGTGTTTCCAAAGGATATTTGCTCCTGGAACTGCATTCATCATGTTAACAGAGTTAAGAGAAATTGCAGCAAGAAAAGTTGTGGCAGGGTAATGACAAATGCCATTTGTAAAGAAAACTAGGGCTTGAAACAATTTAATTTTTAAGACAATTCAATTTCAGTCCCTGACTGCTGGGGCAGACAAATTCATTTCAGAGGAGAACAGAGCAGCATTTCCTGGGCTGGTAGTCAATGAAATAAGATCTCACAGTGCGGGGGACTTGCTCTGTGTCCTTTTCCAGCTGGTCATCTCCTCTCTGTGGCTTTTGTGTGTCCCTGCAGACCCCTGAGGAGCTGGAGGACGACTCAGACTTCGAGCAGGAGGATTACGACGTGCGCAGCCGGACGAGCGTGCAGACGGAGGATGACCAGCTCATTGCTGGCCAGAGCGCGCGGGTGAGTACAAACCCACCCGTGTGCCCAGTGGGGACCAGTGCAATCTCTGCCTCAGAAAGGGATTTCCAGCCCTCAGGGTTGTTTAAGAAAGGATGGGACCAAGCTGGCAGAGCTGTTGAGGATTTTTCTCATGTCAAACCTATTTGAGTAGCATTTATTGAATGGTCTTGAGGCTTTTGTGCTGCCTAGTATCAGCTGCTTGCTCCAGCTAGTGCTGTAAGAGGAGGCTTTGCAGGTTTGGAATGTGCTGAAAATGTGGGAGTCGTCAGCAAATTAAAAAAAAATTTAAAAAATCCCATCAGTGCACCATGTGCTGTATCCAGAGAAATCTTACATTAGTCATGTTTCCCAGTGTGCAAACCTGTCAGGAAGATCTGTTTAAGCTACTGAGTAGTCCCTGTAATTTAATTGTAATTGAAGACATTTGCTACTGAGTCAATGTAATTTTACCAGGGTAATTACATCATGATAAACTCCAGTCACTGTGATTTGCGACCTCAGCCTGTGCATGGGGATTGCAAATTAAGCTGATGAGTGCTTCAGGGGTCACAGGTGCTGGGGAAGTGAAGTCTGTTAACACTCAGGAATATTCCTGTTAACACTTAGAATTATGCCACCCTCTGATGAATGTTTGCTTTTTACTGAATAGTCTTCTCAGCTCAGATTATTTAAAAAAACATAATCAGACTATAATTTTATGGGTCATGACGATATATTTGATTTGAAAGAAAAGCATTTTAACATTTTTCCAGGAGAGAACCATCAGGAAACTGGGAATTATCTGATTGATTTTCATTGATGTTTCACACAAGTCTGATTTGTTCTGATGTGCTGGAAGTGAAGCTATGGACTAAATAAAAAGCATCTTCCCCAAAAATTCTAACACCAGCAAAAGTTGATAACTGGAATGGGGATTTTTTACCTTGGAGTCTGGAAGAGGATTTGTAGGGCTGAGAGCCTAAAGAGCAGCAGGCGAAGATGCTGTGAAAGCTCAGGGGACCAGGACAGTTTTCACCTGCTGTGGGTTGGGGCTTGACACAAAGGATTTACACCCTGCAAAGAAACAGTGGAGTAACAGAAATCTGAAAGCAGCTTACTCAGAGGTGTGGGAGAAATGCAAGGCACGGATCCAGTAAAATGGGCAGAGATTTCTTTTTGTCTTAAAATTATTTCCCTGAATACTGAACATAGGTGGTAAATAAACCACATCAGAAAACCATGTATCAGAAAAATGGGAGTTTTATCATGACATCCCTAAGGCAAAAAATACCTGGATTCCTTACTGTGAGACTGGTGACAGAACTGTTCTGGATGTAGTTGAATATCTTTCGTGATTTTGATATTTTAAAGGGCATAAACTCCTGTTTGAGATAGTCAAAGTATTGACTATTAAAACAAATCTCAGGTCTAACAGAACTGAGATACAGTACAGATTATTTTGTCAGATTTCACAGCCTTTCTCATCTCTTTGGTTACATTTAGGACTGGGTAGCATGTCATCCTTTCTTGATCTGAAACCCAAGTAAAGACTGCAGTAATTTTTCTTACTAAGAGTGGAGTTCACCTGGGGATTTAGGATTCTTAAATTCTACTACATTTACTGTGGTTATTATTACTGCTGTGCTTAAATCCTTCTGCTTTGATCAGCTACACGCTGTATAAACATAATATATCATAAAGACAGATCCTGAATAATACAGATTGCAATGTGGCACAGGAAACAACAAATCATAAAAACTAAAAGGGAAACAATGCTAAGCAGAAGCTGCCCAGTCCCCAGTCTGGATTGCTGAGCAGAACTGAATTTTTTCTGAAACTTTTCTGTGCAAAAGATGCAAAATACTTTTATTCATGCCACGTAATGGATTTGTTTAATATGCTTACTCCACAAGGCTGGTAGTGTTTTAGCAGAAAGACTTGTGTTGGTCTTCAGTAGAAATAAAAGTGGAATTTACAGGCTGCATTTGCTGTAGGATATGGCTGCTTTGAAAGCACATCAGCAGCTGGAACAGAATTATTAAAGCACTGTTTACCAGTTTAAAGAGTGCGCAGGTGAAGCACTCTTCTTCACTTGAAGAACCCACAGGCAAGATAAACTTCCCAAATATCACTAATCCTATCATATTCTCTTAATTTCAGTTAATTCCTCAGTTCTGTTGTTTTATGTGCGTTTTATATATTTATTTATTAGCTTGACTTACACTGCATTTTTCTGTGCAAAGACTAATATGCTCACATTTGAAACTGCTGAGTTACATTGATAAGGCCTAATTAAAACTCATCTTGAATTTTAATTTGATTAACTTGCAAATTTCTCATTTTCTGATCTACTGTTTATAACCCTTTTTAATTTCAGTTTGGGAAAAGGTCAATTACGAATTTTTAAAAGCCAAGAGCATTTTAAGAATATGTGGAAAAAGACTTCAGCTGATTGAAAGTGACATAAACAAGAAAAAAATGTAATGACACTTAAATATGTGTCACACCCCATTAAATGCATAATGTGGTCTTCAGATCCCCTAGAGCCAAATAAAAGCTTAACTTGGAAATCATTATTCAAAGTGTCCATTTGATCTTCAGAAGTAATTATTATAATGTTTTAGGGAGTTTTTGGGGGGGAGCAGGAACTTGGTGCTTTGTTATGCTGAGGCAGATCAGTACCAACCTGTCCAGGGCCTTTTTGCATTTCTTCCAATGGAAAATTTGAACACTAAGTATCATTAAAAGATACACTTGTTATAATTCACTTCAAATGCATTGTCTTGTTTGTCATAGCTTATTTTAGTGCTGTGTTAATCTGAAATCCTCTGTTTCTGACAGAGGATGAGACTAGGGGTGACACAGCAATTCAGTCTGCCTTTTCCCATAAACGTCGCTTGTTTTATTCTTCCCCAAAATTGCGATTCAATCCTCCTTTGTCAACTGGTGAATAATCACGACATCATAAATAGAAACTTTATCATCCTGAAAGTGCAAGAAGAGGCACAAACGTGCTGTGAATGTGCTTTTACATGTCCTGACAGAAATCAGATGCCTACAGGATTTTACTTGGTATCTTCAGCTCCCATAAAAAGAAACTCAAGCTGTTGGGTGGGACCGCTGGAAGGATCCATTTTGTATCTTCCTTTTCTTCATGCCCAACTGCTGTATTTTCTCCAGGCTATCATGGCCCAGCTGCCCCAGGAGGAGAAGGCAAAGATTGCTGAGCAGGTGGAGATATTCCACCAGGAGAAGAGCAAGCTGGATGCAGAGGTGGCCAAGTGGGACGACAGCGGCAATGACATCATTGTGCTGGCCAAGCAGATGTGCATGATCATGATGGAAATGACAGATTTCACCAGGTAAGGACAAGACAGCCCCAGCTGAGCCGCTCAGGTGGGCAACATCTCCCCTTTTCTGCTTGCTTTGTAGCCTTTTGAGATGATTTGCTGTGGTTTTGGGGATGCAAAGCCAAGGAATGCTCATCATACACACTGCCCTGGGTGTTTGTCCAAGTGGGATTAATGACATGAAGATTTGTGCTATTTGCAAGTCTCTTTTATTTGCAGATCATTTTGTAAAGTTAGTCTGTGACCTTACAGACACTCCAGTGACATTTCCTTTAGCACCCATCTAAGTGCATGTGCCTCTCTGAACTTTCAACATTTCAGCACAATTTGTGTCAATCAAAAATAATGGCAGAACTATTTATATCATTTAAACATTGAGCTTCCTTCAAAAAAATTGAAATGAAACTGGTTTGATCTAATGCTTTGTGGGAGTCTGTCAGTAATGATTTCTTTTTTTTTTGCTTTCATTTATTTTCTCTATTGATGCCTTATTCTTCTCTAATTGCAGAGGCCATTCATTAATGATACAATGTAAACAGAATTATTGTCTTTTATTATGGTCATGTTGTTAATCACACCAGGGAGAAAGGTTTACAAGATTCTTTGAATTCCAGATCACTGTAGTAAATTAAATTTTGTTCAGTGTTTATTTTTTAAGTGGGTTCAAAAGTTTAAATGGTATTTATCAAAATGTGTTTGCACAAAACAGGATGAAAATCTTCCTGGTTAGTTTTTTTTTTTCAAGATTAAAATCAAACATTCATTTATTCATCTCTTTGTGTTGCCCCATCCCTGGAAGTGTTCAAGCTCAGTTGGTTGGGGCTTGCAGCAACCTGGGATGGTGGCAAGAGGTGGAAATGGATGGAGAGGATATTTTACAGAATTCTGTGTTACTTTTATTTGTGTTGTCTTGGTGTCTCTGATCCTTCTGTCAACAAACCATAGGGTGAAAACTGCCCAAACAGTGTCATTGTTTCAGGGAAAGAAGAAATTATGTTTTGAAGCAACAGCCCAGATTATGCACAGTTTCTGCAACCTCCTGGACAACCTTTGATATATTGAGCATGAAATTGGCAGTTTGATAATTGTATTTTCTAGCATCAAAAGAACAAAACTAATTTGAGACTGAGATAAAGATTACTGACACATTTGAAGTAAATAAAAAAAAAATCAAAGTGCACCTCTCTCTGCATCAGATTCAATAACAAGTTGTTTAATATATTCCATTAAAACAGAAACAAGCCTTTCACACCTTTTTGGTTGGCTGTAACCTCAGCAGTGTAAGAACAGAATAATTTTTCAAATGCAGGGAGTTCGTGACAGTCAGAGCTGCTCATGTAATTAATGTAGAAGCACATGAGGTCACCAAGAAGTACTTTTGCTGCAGTTTAAGTTCATCAGAAGTGGGATATTTGTGTTTCATCTGTTTAAACTGGTAATGAAAGTATGGAAAGAAGATTAAAATGGAAATATGTTTCAGCATGTAATTCTTGCCATTATAGATTTTAAAAAAATTCCAAAAATAATGCAGTGTTGTGCTTAGAAAAAATGCCTTCTCTTTAATTAAAAAAATAAAGGTATTACCATATTGTCCTTTTCCACATTAAAAAAAATGTAAAATGAACTCACTTCCAGTTGAGACTTTCTCAGGAGCAGCAGCAATTTTACTGGTACAACCAGGTTTAAAGTTTTGAGTCTGATGAAAACTCACAGAAGTCTGTAGAGACCTTCTGTCTTAATACATTTTGGTAGCTTTAATGACTAAAACCAGAATTTTGTACATCATCTTAAAAATATGGTGAAAGATCAGGCCTGAAGCTAAGTAGACATGTTTTAAGTGTAACATTCAAGTGTGTAACACAATGATTAAGCTTCACCTCTTTATTTTCCAACAAAAAAATCTTCTAAAAAGAAAAGTTTTCTAAAATGTGACATTCTTGCCTTAGACATGATGAGCTGAACATTTAGCACTGGCTTGGGAATCACATCATTTTGAAATAGTTGTGTATTCCAGGATCAACATTAGCTTAATGAGCGCTTAAAAATGCATATACTATTAAGTACAGCTCATGTGCTTGAAGGAACCATCAGACTAAATTGCCAGTGAGGCATTTTGTGAGGGAGAGGAAATACAGCAGAAAGATTTCTTAATCAAGCTGTACTACAAAGTACTTAAAAGGCAAAATTGTAATAAATTAAGAAGACATTTGTGTTACTGTTTTAAAAATGAGCAGTAAACAGGGTCACTGGAAGTGTTGCTTTTCATGATTTGTTGAGATTGTGGGTAATTGTCCTGTGTTCCACAGAGGGAAGGGCCCCCTGAAGAACACATCCGATGTCATTAATGCAGCCAAGAAGATTGCAGAGGCAGGATCCAGGATGGACAAACTGGCACGGGCAGTAGCTGATCAGGTACCCCAAAACGAGCTGGAACACGATGGAACCTCTATGGATGAGCTGGCTTTTGCAGGAAAAGTCTGTTTTACCAGAAAATTACCTGTTGAGAGGCTTTGATCTGATCTTCCCATTGGTTCTTCTAGACCCATCAGCATTTTGCAGAGCAGGGAATTCATAAATGAGGTTCTCCAAATTTCAGAAATGGCCTCACTTCTGGGCCTGATAGAATTAGACAAAGCCTCCTTCAGGTTGGAAAAGACCTGTGAGATCATCACCTCCAAAATGGCTTTGCTGCAAAAAAAGCAGTAAGGATTTGGATGCTCCGTTTCCCTTGCCAAGTCCCTAGGAATGTTTAGATTCTTTTCAGCTCATTCTTCCAGCAATTTTCCCTTGATTTGGCTCTTTACTCCTCCAAGGTTCTCTGACTCCCTATTTTCTGGTTTGCCTCAGTGTGTTGTGGGGTCTGTGTCCCCACTTCCTTTACCAAATTCATGTCACAGCTGGACAGAGGACCTTGCTGTATGTATATTTTCAGATTTATCTATTCATCTGGAGAGTAAGAGGAAGCAATGTATTAAAAGTCAAGAGCCAAATTCAAATCCAGGTCCTACATAGCTAATTTTGGATTCAGGCAAATTAAACTACACTATTTTTCCCTTTGCAAATTTCCTATAGTTTCTTTCATTTCATTGTCACCAAGAGAAAATTTGCTGGAAGTGGGAACTGGTAACTTCCTTGCCTCTAGTCTTTCTCTTCAAAATAAGAATGTCATTTTCTTCTTCAAGTAAGAATCTTTGGATTCT